GGCGCGACGCCGTCCTGAGGCCTTGCGCTGTCTCTGCCCGCAGGTTTCTGGCTGAAGCAGAGCGCGTACCGGGAGCAGCCCACTGTGCGGTTCCGGTACGAGGTGCTCTTCGTGGCCACCACCGGGCCCGGCCCGGGCAGCTTTTTGGCGTGGAGCACGTTCCCAGCGTTCAACAGGCTCCAGGAGGACCGGCTGCGAGTCCCACTCCTGTTGGTAGGCCTGCCGGGGGCGGTCGGCAGTGGTGGTGGGAAGCGGGGCTGGAGAGTGGGGCCAGGGAACGGCAGCGGGCCAGGGGCAGGAGTGCTGGCGGCGCCTGTGAGCAGGCGGCCTGTCGTCCTCTGCTGCCTTCAGGTAGCAGCAGCTTCATGCGTAACCTCGTGCCTCACGGCGAAATTCGCTTGGAACAAGTGATCCCTAATCAGTTCAGTTTTACTCCCTCTCAGTGTTGCAGAACCTAGAATCACTTAGGTTGGAAAAGATCAGCCAGATCAAGTCCAGCTGTTAAGTGACACTGCCAAGTCCACCGCTAAACCATCCCAAAGCACTGCTGGTGGTTTGGGTGAACACATCAGTTTACCTTCCTCAAATTAGTTGTAGTCCCCCTGCTGTGTGGCTTATCATGATCTGAAGTTTGCGGGGGTTGGGTAGCCCCTGGTTTTGAAAGCAGGTATGTGCTTTCTAAAGCACATAATCTCTGCCCTGCAGCCATTGTTCCTTCTGTGATTCAACAGTGGCAGTTATTTTTCTGCATTACTTCTGAGTCCTGTTATGTTTGCGAATAGCTGAAGCACTGGACATTTGTGTCGGAGAAGTGTAGCAATCCTTGGCTCACAACCAGGAACTGGCATACAGAGACCATTAAGAGGCAGGCTGCAGTGGCAAGGGGCAAAAGCCTGACCATCAGTCACACGTTTGCACAGGATGTGACAGAAGATCCAGCACTGAGTCATGCTTTGTAGCATGCAGGGGAGATGGTTGGAATGGCATAGGGCGGAGGAGACCTTGAAGAGTCTGATGAGCTTTCCCCACCTGAGGGAATATGAGACATTATGTAACAGACAATGTCTCTATTCCTGTGCCTATAAATTAAAGTGGCTTTTTGTTGCTTTCCTAACAATGCAGTTTATTTGCTTCCTTGGTATGTGCATCGTGCAGTTTTGGAGCTCCCCTGGGGTTTTACCTTTTTGTTTTTTCTTTCTAACACAAGTTCCCGTCTTTAAAAAAAAATCTTACTGACTCTTTTAGGCTAGAGAAGAAGACAAAAATCAAGATGGCAAAGTGGATCAGTTGCATTTTAAGTTGGAACTTCCACTACAACCTACAGAGCATGTAGTTGGTGTTCAGCTGATTCTACTCTTTTCCTACCAGCTTTACGTGAGCATTTTTAATTTTGTTTGTTGTGATATGTCGACCCAGTATAATATTCCAGTAGCGGTTATGTGAAGTGTGAAAGCACATTTCCACGTTTGAAATTCCTGTCTAAAAGATTTATTTTACTAACAAATTGTTAATTTTCTCCTCCTCTGCCGGCTCATTCCTAGTCTAGCTCTGTTGCATATTTGATATGTTTTGTTAGATTATTTTTTTGTTTTGTTTTGGGGTTTGGTTAGGGTTTGGTTTTTTTTAAGCAGTGTATTCTCTTGGGCTGTAGTGAAGCGCAGAGGACAGAGGTGCACAACAGTGGATATCAGCATGGGTGGCATCAGGAAATAACCGAAAGTCTTGTAGTAGGCAGAATGACGCACATTCTTACATATTGCTGTGTCTTGACATAACCAGTTAGTTTTCTGAGGTGGAAGGGCAGGCTGTTGTAGCAGCGTGAAACTCCATAGATTTGGCTTACTTAACTCTTGCAGCAATGGAAATCATCTGCCAGGATCTCCTGTATCTTGTAACTGGGAGAGGGGAAGAAGGTGTTACAGGGAGACAGGAAAATGTCTCATGGGTGCATTTGGAAGGAGCAGTAGTATAGAGCTGTGCTGGATGCAGCCATACAGACAAGAAGTTGTTTTACGAGGAAGATTAAGCTTGCTTTATCCAAGAGACTATTGCTGATTGCAGATGGACTAGCTTAGCAAGCACAGTGTGTTTAGAAAACGTTCTTAAACCTGTGAGGCCCAGAGTAAAGGCCTGACAGTCCTAAATTTGTGATGAAGTATTAGGTCAGTGATTAGTATCACAGAGGGTTCCAATATTGACAACACCTTTGTTTTACAGTACATACGAAAATTTTCCTTCAGATTGAGTGGTTGACGAGGGCTAAGGAACTTCCTTGTTTGGTCCTTATTGCAGAGCAGGAATCCTTAGCTGGCTTTGACTGCTGAGTATTTTAAAATGCATCTCCAATTAATGTGTTTACTCCTCTTGCTGCTTTTCGTCATTAGCCACAAACTGTCGGACTTCACTAAATTTCCTGTGGAACTCTGTTTGGTTTATAAAGTTAGTTAACTAACAACTAAGGTAGTTCACTTCAATATGAATAACTTTTTTTTTTTTTTTTCTTATTTGGTCTTCCCTGGTTTAGACTAATGTGATGATCTGAAACTTGGGAGTCAGAAAAAAATTAAATCCATGCAGCAAACCTGTAGATACAAAGAGATAGAAAAGTGAGGTGCTGGTGGTGTTGTGTGTCCTCCCTGCTCCCCCTGGCTAAATTCCTTTTCTTGTGTTCACCATTTCAGAGAATGTCAACACTTGTGATGCAGAGCATGGCTTTTCTTCAGTTTTTTTCTCCTGTGCCAGGGTCTCAGCTCTATATGAATGGAGACCTGAAATTGAACCAGAGGCAATTACTTAACCATTGCGGACTGGATACCAGATACAATGTGAGGAAACTTTTTTTTTTTTTCCTTCTTCATCAGTTTTCCCCTCCTTCATCCTCCTGGTACCATAGGTGACACTCTAATTATTTGTACTCCTGCACAGAATGGACTCTAGAACTTTGGAATTGGTGTGTTCTTGCTAGGCTGAAGTGGAAGAGATCATTCTGCCAAGATGTTCGGTCTGATGTTTGTGTGCATTCCTTCAAGGGCATGGTTGCTTTGCATTAGAAACATGGTAGAATTACTTTCTTGAAGAGTGGACAAACAATGCAAGTATCTCCTTGTTGTAACAGGTGTCTGTGGTCAATGGCACAAGTCCTTTTGCAAGCGACTATGATCTAACAAACATCATTGCAGCATATTGGGATAGAAATGGTAAGCCTGAATGTATAGCTGCGAATTATGGAACAGCAGTAGTTAGCATCTTGGCAGATGTTGTGAGGATTTGAGTTCTGTATTAAGACTGAACCTTAACATCTCTTAACCTGGATGTTTCCTTTCCCCATTTTAGTGACAACAGTATTTTCAGATCCCAACCCTGTTTGGATGACTGGAAGAGCAACAGATATGCCATTTATCATTAACGCCACTATTCGTTACCCAGTGGAAGTTATCTTATATCCTTTGAAAACTGCATAAACGGTGACATAACTGTTTAGTAAGTGTTGCTTTGCTCCTGCAGCACCTGATGTCCCAATCGGTCATGGATGCCACTAGCAAAGCATGGTAATGTATTCTGTGACCTAAGCAAACCGTTAGAAATCTGTATGCAAGGTAAGCTCACCAAATAATAACCCCCACAGTGGATGTGGCACAGGATCTGTTGCAAGCGCAGACAGACCTCAGATTTTTTTTTTTTTTCTGTAAAAGAATTCTTTGTTCATTATGTTCTTTACTCCTTTTCTCAGACAAGAACAAGCCAATCTTTGAAAGAATCTGTGTGGAGCACATTTCTGACAAGGTTTCTTTACCTGCCTGAGTATTACCAGTAGCTTCTTGCTGATGAGTCAGGGATGAAATGGGCACTTTCCACAGAACTGGTTTAAATGTCTTCTAGGACAGACATTCTCTGCAGCTTTTGTTACATACTATAGTAAAAGGCTTTTGGGAGTTTCCATGACTCAAAGGCTTTGCATTTGCCACACAAACTGATGTCTAACAAGTTTTGTACCTTTCCATCTCCCAGTGCCTTTGTTTAGTTATTGCAGTGGTAGTATCACAAGCTTCTTCATTAACGCTCCTTGACTTTCTTTAAATATCAGCCAGGGTTTTGGGAAATTATTAAATTTGCCTGGATCCAGTATGTCAGCATTCTCCTTATCTTTCTTTGGCTGTTTGGTAGGATTAAAATGTTTGTGTTCGAGAATCAGGTGTTGACTACAACTCCAATATCACCAGTCCTACCAGTGTCTCCAGTACTGTCCTACAAACAGCACCAGTCTTGAGGAGATGCCTGAGAACACTTTAAAGAAATGCAGTTCAAAAATAGATGCCTGCTTTTATTCTTTGTACACTTTTTAATTTGGAAGATCAGAACTTTGTAAGTATGTTCCAAGTATGTTCTGTTCATGCTTCCTTTTTTAAAATACATGTTCATTCATCTGTTTCTCTGGGAATGCTGCTTTGGGACTGAAAATTTTTGTATTTTTTACTGTTAAAGAACCATCTTGTTGTGTGTTGTGGTTTTTTTTTTTTCCAACCAGAACACGCTTCAAAAACCAGTAGAAAGCAATGAGACTGCTTCTGCATGATCTTAATTTTGCTGAATCTTGAAGACCGAAAGTATTATGCTAACAGTAACGACATAAGCCATTTTTACTGTCTTGTAAACTAAGTCACTGCTGAGTTAGAGTTCTATCAAGAGCTATTTGTACAGACATGTGCATGATGAAAGGAGAAAATATAAGGAATGTGAAAAAAAGTATGGACCAGTTAAGGTTAGAGCCACACTTCTGTAACTGTGGCTATACATGCTCACTGATTTAGTTATTAAATTGGATGATGGATTAATTCAAGGTTGATGTGAGAAGCTGGGTTGTGGGTGATGGCATCTGCAAGGTTTGCACAATCATTTACTATTGGCATTATTACTGTAGCAGTAGACCACTAATTGTGAATTGGGAATAGTAACACAGAGAAGCCTGGTATTTATTTAAAGAAAACCAATAAAAGACCTACCAGAGAGGCTTCAGAGTTCCAAAGCAAGTGAATAATTACTTCCATAACTTAAATGATAACTTAGATAATAATTAAATCAATTATAATCACCTGGTAAGCACTGAAAGACTAAGTCCCTCGTTCTTGATGGGGGTGATTGTGGTAAGGAAGATTTAATTTTATTTTCTCTTTCTGGGCTTACCTTTTATGCCAGACAAGCTTAAAGGAGAAAACAACAAAATTTCCATTATGTTTTCAGTTTTGTACTTAAGATTTAACTCTAGCAAAGCAATGTTTTGCCAGGAGAGAGTCTAAAACAATTCTAGATGCTAGTTAACAAAATTCTGAGTGTCTTTGGTTCCCTTGAACTCTTAAGACACGGTGCAGCTATGAAATGTGAAAGAGCAACCTGTACAGCAGTACCCCATCTTTTGGCCATTATCCTCTAGAATTCAACATCCTGGCAGTTTGGAGACCTGACTACTGCTTTTTCTTTTCTCCTTTTCAGAACAGTTGGCCTCTTTTTGAACTTCTGTTTAAGCTTTGTAGTTGTGCAGCTTGCATTTCTCCCAATTTTTATGTGCTGGATGGACTCCAGCCTGTTCTTCAATGCAAGTGAAATATTAATGTGGGAGCCATGTCTTGCCACTTTTGTGCTTGTGAAACTTATGGCTTACCTATGAATTGTAAATTATTGCAAGGAGCATTTGCTGTATACACATATGTATCTTGTGATTTGAAATCGCAGAATCACAGAATGGTTGGGATTGGAAGTGACCTCTGGAGATCATCTAGGCCAACCCCCCTGCTGAAGTAGGTTCACCTAGAGCAGGTTACCCAGGGCTCCATCCAGGTGGGTTTTGAATATCTCCAGGGAAGGAGACTCCACAACCTCTCTGGGCAGCTTGTTCCAGTGCTCTGTCCCCTTTAATGTAAAGAAGGTTTTCCTCATGTTGAGGCAGAACTTCCTGTGCTCCAGTTTGTGCCCGTTGCCCCTTGTCTTGTCACTGGGCACCACTGAGAAGAGCCTGGCCCCATCCTCTTGACCCCCACCCTTTAGGTATTTATAAGTGTTGATAAGGTCCCCTCTGAGTCTCCTCCGGGCTAAAGAGCCCCAGGTCTCTCAGCCTTTCCTTGTAGGAGAGATGCTCCAGCCCCCTCACCATCTTAGTAGCCTTCTGGTGGACTCTCCAGTAGTTCCCTGTCCCTCTTGAACTGGGGGCCCCAGAACTGGACACAGTACTCCAGATCTGCAGTTTGATCTTTGAAGTCTGTACCTGGCAGCCTAGGACTACCGATAATTGGCTTTGTATGAGAGTGCAGAGAGTCAAAGCAACTTTCCACTGCTTTTTAGTGTTTCTAGGCACTACACGGGATGAACGAAGGGGTCTGTGAGCTTGTTTCTCGAGCTGATGTACATCTGATCTGCTGTAGTCCTAGCTCTTCCCCCTTGCAGTGTGGCTGCATGAGTTAATTCTGGGAGTTCATGGTGATGAAGAACATCTTTACCAAATATACTCACTTTTTCAGACAAGTCAGTTTTCTGAATGAATTTGGTATGTGCCTGCGCAAGCATTAGGGTGGGCATAAGCAAGGGATAGGAATCTCTGGAGGGACCATAGAACCTCATTTTAGGGGTTTGAGCTTTTGTTAACAGTCCTCCAAGCTGAACAGAAGCCCGTTTAAGGTAGCAACTGAAACAAGAAAGAGCATGGTGCCAGAAAGCAACAGTAATACTGGGAGACTCCATTTTCCCTGGCTCACTTTTCTCTCCTGTTATATCCCTCCATGTTAAGTTATGACAAATGATGCTGCTCAGAGCAACGGTTCAGTGAATCCACGTGAGATAAGAAATGGTGAATAGGTCTGGTCCAGGAAATACAGAGAAAAATATCCTTGTGTTCCATTTTCCTTCAGAAGGAGAAAGTTGGAAAAAATCCTCTATAGCGATTTAAAAGGAGAACTAATTAAGTGAAAAAGAAGAAATCAAAAAGAGTTAATTGCTTGCAGGTGGCGTGTAACTGTTTAGTATGATGTGAAGCAATCCCTCCATTTCTTCTGAAAGAGGTGCATTTCATGACTGGGACTAATAAGTGAATGCCATGTAAGAGGAGCAGTAAAGGCAGATATGACTACAGCGGGGAAAAACCTCGTTCGTGATACTTCTGCTGTGGTAACTTCCTGGGTCACTTTTATACTAACCATAGTTCTTGGTTGATAGTTCTGACTCCTTTTTCAAGCTTGGAGAGGCATTCCACTTCTGTAAGTAACTGAGCAGTAGAAAAAAAGTAGGTAAGTTTTTTATGGCTGTAGCAATAAACTGAAGTACAAGGAAAAAAAATATACCTGGGAATCCACTGTGACTAGTATTAAGGGAGTGTGAGGAAGGAGGAGTCTTTCTTGGAAGGCTCTCTGTAAGGACTCTTCCTTTAGCTCGCTAGGCAACAGAAAATAAAAAGACAGAAATACCGCTGGAACCCACCACAATGCTAATACACGGATCTCTTGTGTGCACATAGACCAGAGAGCAATCTAAATGCTGGTCATTGAGGAAGGATGCAGAGGTACGTTAGGATTAAGCAGATTTCTGTAAGAGGAAAACGTAGGTGGTTGAAAGTACTGTGCGTAAATACAAGTGGGCATGTTGACGTGTAACGGCCGTGCTTCAGGAGTATTTTGAGGGGTGATACGAGGATGGAAGAAACCACCTCTACGCCTGTTTCCTGTCTAGCCAAGCGGCCCGCTTGGGGGGGTAGGGCCTCTCGGCTCTCCTCGGACGAGGCGGGCGGGATGCGGCTGCGGCGGGGCCGGCCGGGCCTGAGGCGCTGGGGATGCCGCGGCAGAGAGGCCGCCGGGCGGTGCAGCGGGACGGCTA